GTTTAGCAGAGCCTGGGATCGAACCGACAACCCTCTGATTGGAGGACGACCATGCTCCCCACTCACCCACAGTCATCCCACAGTTCTGACTTGTATGAGCAACAGGGCGCCGATAACTATCTATCTTTGACATCTGCCTGTGTTGACGACACTTAGGCCAATGTGTTGGAAATTATCTTTCTTAGCAGCCCAGACGTTTCGCTCAAGTTCTTTCACCCGTCAATGAATATGAATTACGACCTTTTTACCCGCATCCTTCCTTTTCCGTGCCTCGGTGCTTCTCTTATTTGCATCCCCTCCACACCTTCTTGATAAGACAAATAAGGCAAAAAACAATGTCTGAACAATTGGACAGCGTGTATTATTTGAGTCTTGTCCTCCGGTGCTGCAGTAGAGAGTTCACTTGAGGATTTTTGGAAAAGAGGGGTGAAGAAATGGATGGAGGAGTGGCACAGGGTTTGTACGAACACCTCCCTCCTCCCATCATCCCTTTACCCAAATACTAAAACAAACCTCGAAGCCTCTGAAGTGTATTTGGCGCTGAGCACCGTCACCAAATGTGACATCCTCCACCCAGCAGGAAGGAGTGCGCTCTCTCACTCCACACCACTCATGCTCCGTCCATGACTTTAAGGCTGTGTGACTAACTGGTTAGAAATTCGACTGCAAGAGGTCGGGACAATACAGAGCAACAGTGTGTATTTGTTTTCAGGGGCACAACAGAACAGCTTCAAAAGAACCAATCCTGGCAGTGAAATACATAAACACCAAGAAATACGTATTTATATTTGGGGTTTTTAACATTTCCAATACATTAGTGTTTGAATAAGGTTGATCACATGATGGGAATCTGTATTATCTGCTTGTTTTACTGTATTTATTTGAGGAATATTGAACTTGTCATGAAAACGGTGTTACAAATACTAAATTAACTAATACAAACCTAATGGAGTCATACATGTACAGCAAAGCAAGAACATCCATAGTATCTCCTCTGAAATAAGGCAGTTTATGGGGACCTTGATGTGGTTTCCCTTTTTCTACAGTGATTGTAAAACGTATTCTGATATGAGGACATGCATAGTAAACCTCCATGATTAAGTTGGCGAGCTATCCCAATGTTACCTTGAGATTTCTCAGGCGAGGTGATCCTGAATACCGAATTTGATTCTGCTCTATATATACACACACACACACCTCACCACCTCTTTCTTCGTAATCTCCCCCAAATCCATTGAATTAATGTTGGACTTTCCATACAGCAGCAGTATTTCTTTCCCCTGGTATAGATTAAAGAGGATGTTAGATAATAGATGACGTTTCATCTCCAAGACCGTATTTTTTATTCTGATGATGATTTAGTGGCTTCTTCTCTGTCATAAAATGCATGCAGATAAAATAAGAAAAAAAAGACACATCAAGGTTTCTGAAGATGTTTAATGTAAGGTTTTGCAGCACGGGTGACATTTTTAGATTAGTTCATTTTTCTTGCAGTCTGCCTCATACTTCTAACGCTTGCCAGAGCAAAACAAGATGTACAGCCCTGTTTGCTCATCGCAAAACGAATGTCGAAAACTTATTACACTTATTTAATAGGATCCCGTTCAAAAAAGTATCTTATTATTTTCCTATGAAGTCAAAGTGATGTTTGCTTCACTCATTAGACGTTGACATACAGACGTTCCAACTAATTCTCACACACACACACACACACACACATTAACTTGCTGACGCTCTTTCTCTTGTGCACAAACGCATCCTCACAGTTGGCCGACACATGCAGAAACTCTCATTAAAGATTCCTTCTGGCTTCATGAGTACAGGAAGAGCGGCACAATAATTGTGCTCCTAAAGCACACAAACATGTTTGTGCTATTTTACCCTCCAGAACAATCCATTGATCCACATTAGGCCTGTGATTCTAACCTCCCTTTTATTCCCTCAGTCTGACATTTAATGCCACATAAATGCCAAAGCTTCGAGAACAGGAAACTGAAAACGCAGACGTAGCACGAAATAAACACCTGAGGGCGAACAGGGACTAAGACAACCAAAGACTCACCAAAAATGAACCAACAAGGAGACAAGGGACACAAATGGCTTAAATACACTGGGGAGGACACAGAAGGAAACAAGCGGGGACAATGCAGACAGAAAGGGCGGAGAAAACACACCAGGGCAGGAAGTGAAGTTAACCCAGGGAAAATACAAAATAAAACAGGAAGCATTTATTATTAATGAAATGAATGCAATTAAGGAAAAGACATTGAAACAGGCACATACACACATTCAGGTCATTTTACAACAAGACCACAGTCCCCAAAGGAACAGTGTAAAGAATAAGATAATCGACTCGAGGGACCACACAGCCAAGATTAGTTATTGCAGACTTTATAACCTTACTAAGTTATTCTTTTAACACAAAACAGAAAACTGGACTCGAAAACAGACAAAAGAAAAATACCTTTGCAACAATAACTGCATGAAGAACAGAAAGTCTAACATTGCAGTGGAACAGGCAGGAGGGGAATGGAACTTGTGCACATTAAAACAATTCAGGAAATACTGGGTAACACAAACTGGTGGTAGATTGTCTGATGAAGGTTGGGTGAACGGTTGGGGCTTAAGTAGTCTTGGGGCTGATGATTAACCGGTGTCGGGTAAAAACAGGCGGGAAACCAGACAGCGGATTCTCCTTGGCTGGTTTGACACCTGACACGTGAAATGTGAGGTGAATCGTCATGGTCCAGCTGAGACGAAGGCCGACCGCTGCCGGGATGATCACCGATGATGAAATGATCCGATGAGTCTCAGACTCGGGACTCCAGCCGAAGAGGTCGGTCCTTTGTAGACAGCCAGACCCTTTGAAATTATTTCTGTCAAAAAAAGTGTTGACCAAAGCTATAGAAGAGTCCAAAACGTAAAAGCAAAAAACAAGTCTGTTTAAAATGGTGGAAGTACATTTTTTTTATATGCCATTAAAATACTTTCCAGCTCCATGTATGACAAGATGATAAAGAATTAGTAGAAAAATACGTTGGAAAAAGTCATGGCACGGTTTCTCAATAATAGTCATAAAAATGACATACTGTAATATTTCAGATAAAGACAGTAAAAGTCAGGAAAAAAAGTCATAGTCATAGTCATAGTTTGCCAATGTCCAAATAAGTCATAGTAAAGTGGTATTTATAAGTCATGAAAAGATTTCTAATATAAAGAAATATAAAGTCATGGTGTATACTACAAAATGTCATGAACTGAAAATAGTCTTATAATGTGTCATGAAACAGTGAATTGATAGCATGTTGAAATAGTCGTATTTATTAAAATGTGTGAAAAAGTTAATATTGTGTAAAATTGCCACTATAGCACGACTCAAAGAATTGTCTTGAAGTCTTGAAAATATCAGTATGATAACTACAATTCCTTGATTCCAGCACTAAAAATGATTGGACTTTAAATACCCTTTAAAGTATTCAACAGACTATTGCAGATCTCACATTAAGTCTTCAATGCGAACATTCAAATAGAAGCAAACTCTGGACCGTCCTCTTCTCTTCCTTCACATCTCATTTGTTTAATTCTTCTTTCTAATGGTCTACGTATCACTCAACCTTCCACTGGATCAGTGGTGTCCCCCTGGTTCTGCTCATGGATCATTTGACTCTGGAGTCCCCAACAAAGCTTCATATATTCATTTGAAACCTTATTCAGAAGACTGCAAAGTCCCCAAAACACATGAATAATATTGAGGGAAGATGAAGGCGGCAGTCGGAGCTCCAAAGCCTATTACCATTGAGCATTAACGACTTAAGAAACACATGGAGGGTCAGGACAGGGGGCATGAAGCAGCACATTATTGACATGGTCAGGACGGTATCACTGCGCGCTCCCTCATCTGGTTGTGTCGGACAGACCTGCTGCTGAGGCAAAGTGGACAATTGTTTCCCCTCTCAGCCGATCAGATGACTGTTGAGCCACTCGGGTTGCCGTTTAAATATTGACCTGATGTCTGTGGGCATCATCAGCCATTGGAATTCAAAACCAGGCAGAAAACCTGAATGCAATCTTAGTGCGGTAGGTGGGGGTCATTTTGGTTTCATTCCCACAGGAGTTCAAGTTCGTATTTCCGTTACTTTCATTAAATAACTTCGTCAGGATAAGGCACTTACGTTTCATTGACTTTTTTATTAATAATTGAGGTGCTGCCACCGCAGGAAAAAAACTTTAAAATATGCTCGGAAAACTCAGTAATGATCAGTTCAGTCAGTTCAATTTACTTCATTAAAACATCACCGCCTGAAACCGTTAGAACATCCATTTTGCAATTGCCTGCCACAAATGTTTTATGTCAAACAAATATCTGAGATTTGATTCCAAATCGAATCGGTTCCCTGCGTTGACTCCCCCTTTCTGGCCGTGGCCCCCAGGGTGCCTTGTATCTGGAGGTGCTGGTCAATGGTAGCATCATTTTATGTTAAGCAGTGTGGACCCCACATCTTCGGCCCTGTGATTCCTTCTGATGAAAAAACTGAATAAATCAAATACCAAATGTGTAATGTACATTCAAAGTAGCTCATTTTTTGCCAATAACACATCCGATGGGACTTGATACTTGGCGTTCACTGTCAAGGCCTCGTAGGATTCGTCACGCTCTCCAAAGTGTTTTGCAGGCAGCAGAAAGTGGGATGTTTGGAAACGAGATTCTCTCCACTAGTTTAAAAGCCAGACAGTGTGTAGACACGGTGACGCATCAAGCCACAAAAAGATGAATAAAAATAAATCTTTCTTCTAATTGAAAACTACCAACCGTCTGTCCTGATTTCCAGTACTGATTACTTTTTTTTGGAGAGAAATTATGCGGCGGTCTGAAAATCGTCACAACCATTATTAGCAGTTTGACTGGACTGATGCTGGAGACAACGTGTGTTTAATATGCAAATATCGAGTAAACAACATCACAGGCACTTTGTCCATAAAACACACGTTTCACATTTCAACTCATTTGATCCCTTTTTATTTTACACAACATAACAACACAGTACATGTTGTCTTTTTCTGTACAGAATCTTTGCGGGAGCTTGTGACCCACACAGGCTGTATTATACCAATGTCAGTGCAAAGCTCACACGGCTTTTAGTTTTTTTTTTTTTTTTCATTCTTCTGTTTAAAAAATATCAATTTCATAAGAGGTCTGTTAAAGTCTTCATTTGTCTGTTGCTTTCTGTCTCAGTTTGTGTCAAGAGACGCCTTTATTCCTCCGTAGGTAAGAAAGGCTTTGTGTGAACTCTCTCTGGTCCCAGTTCCTCGCTCGGGGAGCACAGTCGAGTCCTAAAACGGGAGATATCATCTGTCAGAGGGTTCGTAAGTGCAAAAGAAGGCACCGACTGCTATTCTCTTGCTGTGGTCCTGTGGGCGTGTGAGCGTGAGAACGGTGTGCTTTGCAGTTTTTCGATTGATTTTTCATTCCTCTTTTTTTTTTCTGTAATATTTCCCTTTTTGTGGTATTTTCAGACACGGTGAGTGTGAATCGGGAAATGATGTGGCGAGCCCATTGTCTTGTTTTGTGCTATAAAGTGGAACCAACGAGACAACTCAACGCTACGAGACAAGGCGAGCTCTCCACTCGCTGACTGAACCACTGGAAACGGTTTGGGTGAAAAAACGACAACCGTAAACAAAGTGTTGCAGAGAAAAATCATGAAAATAATTTTAAAAAACAGACTGAAAAATAAAAATATGTCCACACTTTCACCCAGGAACACACGATCCGACCCCCCTTTCAAGCATGTATAGACACAGGTTCCAACGCACACACATCAAAGAAACCCACATCCAAAATCTCAACAACACACAAACACACATCAGCCGTCACGCGCACACATCTAGGGAAATTCAAAGTAACACACAAAACCTCACACATTCAAAAGATGAACAAATACGACTGACTCAAAGTTGATCGTGTGCTTCGCTGCCTCGTTCCAGTTCAAACCGTGCTTTCTAAGATCCAGTCCGAATCGCACCGCCCTTTTTCTGAGTCTCCGTCCCCGTCTTTCTGGAGCAGAATGCCGCTCATTGATTGGCTCCTTTTGTTCCGCACTGTGCGCCCTATTTTGGATGCTCCGCCCGCCCCCTTGTGGGACGAGTGAGTCTTTGAGCCTCCTTCACTGAGCGAGTACCTCCTCCTCGCCCTGTTCCTCCCTGCCTCCTCCACAGGGAGAGTCTGGTACTTGGCGGAGGCGGAGGAGCCGGCGCGGGGAGCCCTGCGCAGGATGGGGGTCTCTCTAAATCGGTTGGAGGTGGAGGGGCTCTGGGAGGCGCCGGGGCAGGAGAAAGTGGGAGGGGAGAAGGAAGATGGGCTTTGGTTAAGCGAGGTGGAGTTGTTGCGGTTGGTGTTGAGGTTCTCCAGAGGGGTCGAGGGGAGGAGAGCAGAGGAGGCCGTGGATAAGGAGGAGGAAGGAGGCCGAGGGGAGGGGGAGGCGAGGTTTTCGGCCTTGCGCTTTGTCTTGGTCAGTGAACCGGTGGCGCCGTTGGGCGACGTGACGCCGGCTCGAGCTCTCTCCTCGTCCGCTGGACTTCTGGCCCCCCACGGCTGGCTGAGGACCGACGTGGTCGTGGAGCAGTCAGGCAGGGACGAGTCGGACGACTGAGTTATCGTATCCTTGCACACCTCTCCTCCTCCTCCTGCCGCCCCGCTCCGTTTCTTTGCGCCTGCGGAGAGGTCGTCTAATCCGATGGCGGCGTGTTTAGAGGAGCTGGGCGTCACGGTGCAGCCCTGTGACTGCTGCCCGTTGGTCTGGGAGTGAACGTTGGTCATCGACAGTGAAACGCCTTTCCCACCATCGCCGGGGTTACAGACCTGAGGAGGGAGACAGACGGAAACTTTGAGGTGTTGTGGGAGCGGCTGTCACGCTTATTCGTTCGTGCCTCAGGAAGAAAAGAGAGAGAGAGAGAGACCCACCTTGTACCGTATCATCAGAATGATGATGAAAACTAGCACCGAAGCTACGATTATCCCTCCGATGATGATGATCATTGTCCCGCCGAGGAACTGAGACTGCATGAAATGACACCTCATGTACTCCGACTCGGTGGTGAACTGCACGCAGCCAACGACTCGCGTCGCTGTCAGAGAGGTGATGACGTCATCGTAGATGGCCAGAACGCAGAGGTCATACTGGGTGCCTGCTGCAAGATTGTTGACCAGAAAATTCTTGCTGGATGGCGGTATCATTCTGTGGTAGAGGAGAGAGTCGGGAGAGGTAGGGACAGACGGGGAGCACAATGTAATCAGTAACAGCATCAACGGGGGAGAGACCCTTTGAGGGAGAACAGTGTGCAATGAGGAATGCAGCAGTCAAATGGGTCTCCCATGTGGACCCGTAGAGTCCTCCAACCAAGTTGGACATATGGAACTTTTCTCACCTGCCGTTTGTTCCTACGGCGGATGTATAGTGGTGTTTTCGCTGTAATAAAACAACAACCTGAACTGAAATAGTGAAGTTAGGGGCTTAAAAAATAAGCCAAAATGTTGGGTTGGGCGATAATACTCCTACGACACCTTTCACAAACATGCAATTAGATTACATTTCAAGACGTCATTCTTAAACAGCTTTAGCATCCTACATTTTTTTGTATTACATGTTGGGTAATACAAAGGTAAAGGTAAATGAGGTAAATACAGTCAGGGTGAAGTCTGCATCTGAGATTAGCATAAACACATGCTGTTTGCTCAACATTTACACCTTCCACCAGAAGTAATGAGGCATTCAAGTGTTGAAGGGTATATACACGAAATGCCCAACAGAGAAGAGGAGTTAATGCACGAAGCTGCACTCTGTACAGCTGGGTGCTGAATTCACTAAGACCACAGAACAATTACATCGTTTATCATAAATGAATCCGGATATTGCTTTCCACAAAAGGTGCTTTGCCACTTGGAGGGAAGTTGGTTATCTGCCGGTGGACACTTCACACCTCTACGAGATGATTTGCACATTTGTGCTGGTTTCCATAAAAAGGGCTTGTCAGCCTTCCTGGGTTCCCTCGTTAAAATGCTAATGCAATTCATAATTAAAAGCAAAGAGGGCGGCTGGTTCACAGCCGGCCGCCTTGCGCGCGCTGAGAGGAGTGGAGGGCTGTTCTGCTCGGGTTAAGCATCTGGTTTAGAGCTTGAGTTGAGTGAAGGTTACTCACGGTGCGGTTTGGTGGTTCCTATTAGGAGCTAGGCAATGAATGTAGTGGTAGGTCTTTGGTATGCCCATAGTGGAATGAATGTGTGTGTGTGTGTGTGTGTGTCGGTGTGTGTGAGCATCTACGTGAGCCCATGAATACTAATCGGGGCATCTGAACGCTGGGTGACCAGGACTGTTCTCCTCTTTGCTTCCTGTGATGTTCTCATCACGAGGGTGGTGAACCTTGGTCCTACACACACTCACAGTGCTCTTGTTGTGGTGTTGGGAGACATAACGTGACATTCAAGTCTGCGGGTTAATGATCGGAGCGAATGTCGCTGGAAAAAACAAGCTGAGAGACAAGCAGCTACATTTGTATGCATGTACGTAGAGCGCGAACACGTCACACTTTTTCTTAGTAAATATGGTTCTAAAGGTGGTGTTGACATTTTGACCAGATGTCGGTAACAATCCAGCTAACTCATACATTCAGCAGAAAAAGTATTGAACATGAATGAAAATGAGGTGCGACATGAGCAGAAATCTATTGCTGCCCCTTCTCGTGCAAATGAACATCAGCTGGTTCAGACCCAACCGATGACCTATAACAAGGTGTCTCATTACCAAGGTGTCCCACAAGAAACAAAAGCAAAGCGCCGTCAAACATACTGACGGCATTGGTTACAGAAGGATTGCGAGGGTTAGGTGCTCCTCGCAGGGTTTCTGACAGAGGGGTCAAAGGAATTATGAGAGGAGATGTCCAAGAGCCAAAGACCTCCTGTGGAGACCTTCACAAAGACCTGCAATTAGCAGAAAAAAGTAATGCGCTGAACCACCATGGCCTGCATGCACCAAGCAAGACTTCATTACTGACGGAAACGCATGTTTACTGCAACATTTAGACAAGCCTGTGAAATACTGGGAGGATTTAGTCTGGTCAGATGAGAGCCAAATTGAGCTATTGGGATGTCGTAATGGTCACCATGTTTGGAGGTCAAAGGGCACATCAGCCCAAAAACACCAGAACAACAGTGAGGTTTGGAGGTGGGAACGTCATGCAGTGTGCAGGGCTGTTTTTCAGCAAACTTCATGTAACTGTACCGAGATATTCTTAATAAAAATCTGGTGCCATCTAGCAGGATGATGAAGAGGAAACGAAGGTGGACATTTCAACGAGACAATAATCCCAAACACAGCCGAGGAGACTCCATTAGTTTCAGAGATCAACTGACTTGAATCCAAATGAAAGGAAAGAACTAAAAAAACAGGGTTCTTACAAGAAGCCCACTGAACCTTTAAGGATTGAGGACTGTTTGTGTGGAAGAATGGGCCAATCACACCTGAGCAAAGCAGGAGGCGTCTTGAAGCGTCACTACCAACACAGGCTTTTGTACTTAATACATCTCCGTAAGTGTGTTCAATACTCAAAAGCACCTTTAGAAACATATTTACATGAATACTTACTGGCTGAATACTGACAGAGACTCATTCCCCTATTATTGCTTTGGCCTTGAGCTTCATTTGTGTGTACAGATGTGCGGTGGCTGTATTTAGCTTAAGCATCGATATCTTTCTGTTGAATAACGGGTTGGTTTTATATATCTCGTTTTTCTTTTTCTTGCAGGCCTAAACGTTATCACGCTCTACAAGAGGGCTCAGTTTTTACCAGCCCATTAATACTCTTTGGAACATGCCTTCACCAAGTACACGGGTAATCAATTCAAATTCAACAAGGTCCATTTAGAGATCATTTATAATGCAAAGTTCCGGAACGTCGCATTAATCTGTAACTTACGCAGTGATTTAGTTCCATTTAAATTGCAGCAGCCAACCGTTGTATCGATGTCTTTATGTAGACAAAAATCTGCCTGTCGAATCAAATAAAGAACAGTCTGATATAAAAGCGTGTGAGCGCGAAGAATGAACATTTAAGATAATATTCTCTCATTAACGCCACTTGAAATCTACCTGAACCTCTCTAACGGGCAGAGAATCACAACCTCTCGGACCCCTCGGACCCCTCCGTCCCTCGTCCGGTCTCCAGTTAATGGTTGAAAGAGGGAGACTGTTACCTAACATGTCCACATAGTGTTGTGCATTATTGTCTTGTGAACTGCTTCTACACGAGGTACACAGCAGCCCCCTTCCACCTAAACATAGGTCACCTGGGTGTCTATTAGTGTGCTTTGTTTACCGTGACGGCAGACTTTTATGATTTTAAACAGCACGGTCAATCCCTTGTGCAACATTTTCCAAAATCCCAGAATGGGTTGAAAATCCACTGAAGAAGCAGCATTTACGTCCCTTGCTTGAGGGTTTGTTTGCCACTTCCCTGCATATCCGCGCGAGTAGATCACATTCTCTGCTCTCAGGCACATGCGCTTCCAAGAAACCATTAGCTACATGACTCCTCCTGTCCTGGACACGGCCCAAATGAGTCTCTCAGCAGAATGCATCGGACGCTGCGGCCAATAACACTCGCCGCATAGCCGGTGTTCATAATCAACGTGTAAGCTGAGCTGCGTCATTCATAATTCATAGATACAATGCAGCACAGTGAGATCGATAATGTGTATAGAAATAAAATAAAAAATGTCATGCAAACCAGTGGATTTTCCTCTGGCCTCGCAGCCGATTGTTCCCCGGCCGTGGGGGGCGTCGGGTTTGTGAAATCATCCAAACTGACTCAGTCATTGTGCTTCATTTCTTTGTGTCTGAGCGGGATCTTGCTGCCAGTATTTGAAGCCCTACAGTGAGCAGATGATTGCCTTGGCCGAGACTATTACACTAATCTATCTACTCTGCTCTGCCAAGCTCTCAGCCCAGGGCGCCTGTGTGTGTGTGTGTAGGTTTCATTACGCCTTCATTACACAGGAGAAAGTGTCTCTGTGCGAACCCCTCAATGAGTATGCATTTGTGTACTAATGTATGTGTGTGTGTGTGTGTGTAGGTGTGTTGGTTCATGTGCGTGTTCCATTACAGTAATCTTCTCCTCCAGCGGCCGTCGCTGCGTCCTGCCAACGTTCGGCACTGATACACCGGTGCTGGTACACCTTCACGTGCGCGGACGTGAGCGTTTGTGTGCGTGCTGATGGACTTTAGCTTCCCTCACTGCAAAGCCAAGAAGACCACTCGGGCCTCCAGGAGTTGCTCCCTCTACTTTTTGAGTGTAGACAAATGATGGCGTCCATGCGCAGAACAGCGAACTATGATACCAGATTGTACCATTTTCAGGCCAATTCCCTTGATTAAATATTGGGCGAAGCCTGCAGTTCTCAAACATGAATTATTCCAGGAGTGGAGGGGGGGGGCATTCCAGATAATGATTGAACAGACAAGGCGAGGGCTTCCAGGTCGAGCTGGAGCCGCGCGATAAGGCTTCTAATGAGTCAGTGGCTCCCCCAGCAGCAGAACCCAGTCAGACCGTTTGTGACAGCAACGTCCAACGCTTTTCAATTGTATTCACTGCTCTGGGCTTCGTATTAGTGGTTTTCTGTGGCTGAAGGGGAATCTTGTTTTTGCACTTAATGAAATCTAGATTTTGGTGTGTGTTGTTGAGACTCACATCAATAAATGTGTGTTACCCATATTACATCATTGTGTCCCTTTGGCAGTTTACTGAATGATTCTGACTGACTCAATGGAATAGTTTGAGATTGGGACAAAGATCCATACAACGGAGAATATTAAGGATAAATAATTGACTCGTTATAGCTCGTATTTGCAGAAATACGACAACATAAAATGTTTTTTTGTCAACTGCTTTTCATTAAGAATGGAATGAGTCTTCAAGCCAACATGGACTCAACATGCTTAGAATAGAGAAGGATTTGGAGGTAAACATTTCCATGAGAAAACCACTGGTGATATTTCTGAAAGCTGAAGAACAACAACTGCTACATAGACGCTGTCGTCAGATGGTTCCACCCTCATATCTGGGGAAATGTATTTGTGAAAAACAACATCTTCGTTGTATTGTAATATCTTCTTATTTTATAAAATAACATCCCACAACAAGCTGATAATTAAGCTGGTTGAGCTGTATAATGTTGGAGCGAATA